ATATCGCACAGTCACCGAATTCACCTGGAAGACAGATGCAGACAGGGTCGAATGGAATCAGGATCAACAACGACAAGGTCTGTTGCTTACGTTTATAAGTACTATACATTGGCCGTTCGTTATCGCACATGTCACCGAATTCACCTTGAAGGAGCAATGCAGAAAGGATCGATAAATCAGGATCAACAACGCAGGTTCCGATTGTTACAGTTTATATATACATGAATCTATTTTCGCAGAATTCACCAAATATTACACGCGGACCAACAACAGGAGACTATTAAGAAAACTGGCTCAATTTAGGATTGTGCCATTATTGTCCAGTTCCAAAAATACCACATGGACTCCAGTTCACAGAAATCACCAGTATTCCATGAGGGCTAGACACGAGAGGCGTATAGGTAACTAGGCATCGACAAGGCAAGTTCCGTGTTGCCAGTTAAAAAGAAAAAAAAAAAAAAATAAAAAAAAAAAATAAATAAACAAAAATAAAAAAAAAAAAAAAAAAAAAAAAAAAAAAAAAAAAAACCCCACATGGGTTCATATCGCACATGCTCACCGAATTTACTGGAAGACAGATTGCAGACAGGTTCAATGATCAGGATCACAACCGCAATTCCGTTGTTACAGTTGATAGTACTGCATGGGTTCATATCGCACATGTCACGAATTCACTGAGCGACAGATGTCAGAAAGGTTCGAAATGAATCAGGATCAGACAACACGCAAGTTCCGTTGTTAACAGTTGAATGTACTACAAGGGTTCGTTACTTCACACATGTCACGAATTCACCTTGAGGACAGACTCTCCGCAGAAAGGGCTCTGAATGAATCAGGATCAACATGCAAGTTCCGTTGCTTACAGTTTTTAGTACTGCAATGGTTCGTATCGCACAGGTCACGAATTCCTTGGAGGACAGGATTGCAGGAAAGGATCGAATGAATCAGATCAACAACGCAGGATTCCGTTGTTACAGTTATAGTTAGTACTACATGAATCTATTCACAGAATTTCACCCAAATATACCACTGCGGACAACACAGGAGAATTATAAAACTGGCTCAATTAGGCATGTGCCATTATTGCCAGTCCAATAATTACCAACATGGATCCATGTTCACAGAAAATTACCAGCTATTCATGAGAGCATAGACACGAGGGGTTATAGGTAACTTGCGATAAACAAGGCAAGTTCGTTTGTTGCCAGTTAAAGATTAACACATGGGTTCATATCGCACATGTCACCGATTCACCCTGGAAGACAGATGCAGACAGGGTTTCGAATGAATCGATCAACAACGCAAGTTCCGTTGTTACAGTTTATATTTATGCATGGGTTCATATCGCACAAATGTCACCGTAATTCACTCTTGAGGACAGATGCAGAAAGCGGTCGAACTAAATCAGATCAACAACGCAAGTTCCGTGTTAGCAGTTGATAGGTACTGCAAGGGTTCGATATCACACATGTCACGAATTCCTATGAGCCGACAAATGGTCGAAAGGGTCGAATGATCAGATACACAATGCAAGCTTCGTTGTTACAGGTTTATAGCTACTACTGGGTTCGTATCGCACAGGTCACGATTCACCTTTGAGGACAGACGCAGAAAGGATCGAATAATTCCGGATGCAACAACGCAAGTTTCCGTTGGTTACAGTTTATAGTACTGCATGAATCTATTTCACAGGAATTCACCAATTAATAACACGCGGAACAAACACAGGAGAATTATAAGAAACTGGCTCCAAAAATTAAGGGCCATTTGCTTTTTGCCCTTTTTAATTGCAGTCCAAAATACCACATGGATCCAGTTCACAGAAATCACAGCTAGTTCATGAGGCATATACACGAGGCGTATAGGTAACTGGATCAACAAGGCAAGTTCCGTTGTTGCAGTTGAAAGTACCACATGGGTTCATATCGCACGTGTCACCGAATTCACCTGGAAGACAGATGCAGACAGGGGTCGAATGAATCAGGATCAACAACGCAAGTTCGTTGTTACAGTTAGATAGTACTGCCATGGGTTCATATCGCACATGTCACGAATTACCTTGAGGATCAGCATGCAGAAGGTTCGAATGAATCAGGATCAACAACGCAAGTTCCGTTGTTACAGTTTATAGTACTACAAGGGTTCGTATCACACATGTCACCGAATTCACCTTGAGGACAGATGCAGAAAGGTCGAATGAATCAGGATCAACAATGCAAGTTCCGTTGTTACAGTTTATTAGTACTGCATGGGTTCGTATCGCCACAGGTCACCGAATTCACCTTGAGACAGATGCAGAAAGATCGAATGAATCAGGATCAACACGCAGGTTCCGTTGTTACAGGTTTATAGCTACTAATGAATCTATTTCACAGAATTCACCAATATTACCAGCGGACAAACACAGGAGACATTATAAGAAATGCGCTCAATTAGGCATGTGCCATTATTGCAGTCCAAAATACCACATGGATCCAGTTCACAGAAATTACCAGCTATTCCATGAGAGCATAGACACGAGGGCGTATAGGTAACTGGATCAACAAGGCAAGTTCCGTTGTTGCAGTTAAAAGTACCACATGGGTTCATATCGCACATGTCACCGAATTCACCTGGAAGACAGATGCAGACAGGGTCGAATGAATCAGGATCAACAACGCAAGTTCCGTTGTTACAGTTGATAGTACTGCATGGGTTCATATCGCACATGTCACCGAATTCACCTTGAGGACAGATGCAGAAAGGGTCGAATGAATCAGGATCAACAACGCAAGTTCCGTTGTTACAGTTGATAGTACTGCAAGGGTTCGTATCACACATGTCACCGAATTCACCTTGAGGAGCAAATGCAGAAAGGGTCGAATGAATCAGGATCAACATTGCAAGTTCCGTTGTTACGTTATAGTACTACATGGGTTCGTATTCGCACAGGTCACCATTCACCTTGAGGACAGACGCAGAAAGGATCGAATAAATCAGGATCAACAACGCAAGTTCCGTTGTTACAGTTTATAGTACTGCATGAATCTATTTCACAGAATTCACCAAATATACCACGCGGACAAACACAGGAGACATTATAAGAAACTGGCTCAATTAGGCATGTGCCATTATTGCAGTCCAAAATACCACATGGATCCAGTTCACAGAAATCACCAGCTATTCCATGAGGGCATAGACACGAGGGCGTATAGGTAACTGGAATCAACAAGGCAAGTTCGTTGTTGCAGTTGAAAGTACACATGGGTCATAGTGCACGTGTCACCGAATTCACCTGGGAAGACAGATGATGAAAGCGGTCGAATTGAATCAGGATCAACAACCGCAGTCGTTGTTACAGTTGATAGCACTGCATGGTTCATATCGCCCACATGTCCGAATTCACCTGAGGACAGATGCAGAAGGGTCGAATGAATCAGGATCAACAACGCAAGTTCCGTTGTTACAGTTGATAGTACTGCAAGGGTTCGTATCACACATGTCACCGAATTCACCCTTGCAGGACAAATGCAGAAAGGGTCGAATAAATCAGGATCAACAATGCAGTTCGTTGTTTTACAGTTTATAGTACTACATGGTTTGGTATCGCCCCCAGGTCACCGAATTCACCTTGGGACGAAGACGCAGAAGGATCGAATAAATCAGGATCAACAACGCAAGTTCCGTTGTTACAGTTTATAGTACTGCATGAAATCTATTTCACAGAATCACAAATATACCACGCGGACAATCACAGGAGACATTATAAGAAACTGGCTCAATTAGGCATGTGCCATTATTGCAGTCCAAAATACCACATGGATCCAGTTCACAGAAATCACCAGCTATTCCATGAGGGCATAGACACGAGGGCGTATAGGTAACTGGATCAACAAGGCAAGTTCCGTTGTTGCAGTTAAACGTACCACATGGGTTCATATCGCACGTGTCACCGAATTCACCTGGAAGACAGATGCAGAAAGGATCAAATGAATCAGGATCAACAACGCAAGTTCCGTTGTTACAGTTTATAGTACTACAAAAGGGGTCGTATCACACATGTCACCGAATTCACCTTGAGGACAGGATGCAGAAGGCGTCGAATGAATCAGGATCAACATGCAAGTTGCGTTGTTACAGTTTTATAGTACTGCATGGTTTTGTATCGCACAGGTCACGAATTCACCTTGAGACAGACGCAGAACGATCGAAGAAATCAGGATCAACAACGCAAGTTCCGTTGTTACAGTTTATAGTACTACATGGGTTCGTATCGCACATGTCACCGAATTCACCTTGAGGACAGATACAGAAAGGATCGAATAAATCAGGATCAACAACGCAGGTTCCGTTGTTACAGTTTTTTGTTATAGTACTACATGAATCTATTTCGCAGATTCACCAAATATACACGCGGACAAACACAGGAGACATTATAGAAAACTGGCTCAATTAGGCATGTGCCATTATTGCAGTCCAAATACCACATGGATCCAGTTCACAGAAATCACAGCTATTTCATGAGGGCATAGACACGAGGGCGTATAGGTAACTGGATCAACAAGGCAAGTTCCGTTGTTGCAGTTAAAAGTACCACATGGGTTCATATCGCACATGTCACCGAATTCACCTGGAAGACAGATGCAGACAGGGTCGAATAATCAGGATCAACAACGCAAGTTCCGTTGTTACAGTTTGATAGTACTGCATGGGTTCATATCGCACATGTCACGAATACCTTGGGACAGATGCAGAAAGGGTCGAATGAATCAGGATCAACAACGCAAGTTCCGTTGTTACAGTTGATAGTACTGCAAGGGTTCGTATCACACATGTCACCGAATTCACCTTGAGGACAAATGCAGAAAGGGTCGAATGAATCAGGATCAACAATGCAAGTTCCGTTGTTACAGTTTATAGTACTGCATGGGTTCGTATCGCACAGGTCACCGAATTCACCTTGAGGACAGACGCAGAAAGGATCGAATAAATCAGGATCAACAACGCAAGTTCCGTTGTTACAGTTTATAGTACTACATGGGTTCGTATCGCACATGTCACCGAATTCACCTGAGGACAACGCAGAAAGGGTCGAATGAACAGGGATCACAAACCAAGATTCGTTGTTACAGTTATAGTACTGCATGAATCTATTTCACAGAATTTCACAAATATACACGCGGACAAACACAGGGACATTATAAGAAAACTGCGCTCAATTAGCGCATGTGCCCATATTGCAGTCAAAATACCACATGGATCAGTTCCACGAGAATCACCAGCTTTCACATGAGGGCATAGACATGAGGGCGTATAGTAACTGGATCAACAGACAAGGTCGTTGTGGCAGTTAAAAGTACCACATGGTTCATATCGCCACATGTCACCGAATTCACCTGGAGAAACAGATGCAGACAGGGGTCGAATGATCAGGATCAACAACGCAGTTCCGTTGTTACAGTTTTGATAGTACTGTCATGGGTTCATATCGCACATGTCACCAAATTCACCTGGAGGACAAATGCAGAAAGGGTCGAATGAATCAGGATCAACAACGCAAGTTCCGTTGTTACAGTTTATAGTACTGCAGGGTTCGTATCACATGTCACCGAATTAACCTGAGGACAAATGCCAGAAAGGGTCGAATGAATCAGGATCAACAATGAAAGCTTCCGTTTTACAGTTTATGTACTGCATGGCGTTCGTATCGCACTGGTCACCGAATTCACCCTGAGGACAGACGCCAGAAAGATCGATAAGTCAGGATCACAACGCAAGTTCCGTTGTTTACAGTTTATGTACTACATGGGTTCGTATCGCACTGTCACCAAATTCACCTTTGAGGGACAAACGCAGAAAGGGTCGAATAAAATCAGGATCAACAACGCAAGTTCGTTGTTACAGTTTATAGTACTGCATGAAACTCTATTTCACAGAATTCACCAAATATACACGCGGACAAACACAGGAACATTATAAGAACTGGCTCAATTAGGCATGTGCCATTATTGCCAGTCAAAATCCACATGCGATCCAGTTCACAGAAATCAGCAGTATTCCATGAGGCATAGACATGAGGGCGTATAAGTAACTGGTCACAGACAAGGCCAAAAAGTTTCGTTGTTGCAGTTTAAAACGTACCACATGGGGTATATCGGAGCATGTTACGAGATTCACTGGAAGAGCAGATGCAGACAGGGTCGAATGGAATGAATCAGGATCAACAACGCAAGTTCCGTTGTTACAGTTTATAGTACTACATGGGTTCGTATCGCACATGTCACCGAATTCACCTTGAGGACAGACGCAGAAAGGGTCGAATGAATCAGGATCAACAACACAAGTTCCGTTGTTGCAATTAAATGTACCACATGGGTCAATTTCACACATTTCTCCAAATGTACCAGTAGGACAAAGACACGATGCAAGAGTAGAATTAGAATCAACCACACATGTCCCTTCGTTGCAATTTAATGCAGAGCACGGTGATTTTTTGCAGTATTTTCCAAATACACCTCGTGGACACACGCATACTGGCGCACCCGTATAGGGTTCAAGCACACAAAGTCCATTTCCACAGTTTATGTGGCCACAAACGTGTCTTTCACAATGGTGGCCGTAAAATCCCATTTTGCATTTGCATGCTTTATTCTTCGTTTTAACATCGACGTAACAGGATCCACCGTTTTCGCAAACCAGGCCATGGCATGGATCATCTGAAAACGAAGCAAGTATACTGTAAATATGCTGTAGCCACATATAATGCCCTTTTAGTCGGTCTTCAGTACGTCGTGTGAGGGTTCGATTCGTTCGCGTCCGTATACACATATATTGATCTAAATTCCTTAAAATGATCCGTTCTTTCACTCATTTCCTTATTGTCATTTTACAATATTAGAAATATTACAACCTACCAATTTCACATTGAAATCATTGTCGACTTGTATTTGTTCTAGCACTGCTTCATTCACGTACTACTGACACAATGACGAATCCAGGGATGTAGGGGCATCAGGACTATACCCCGTCCAAGCACCAATGCCAAAAACTGTGCGATACCAGCAAAGCAGTCATTCATGAGCATTGAAATACTTAGTGTTATCTATTATTGCCAGAATTCACTGCTCACTATATTACAGAAATCGGTCTCTGAAGCATGGGCCCGGTAGATGGATCCAGCTATGGGAGCATACACCCTCTCCGGATTTTGTCGCTATCCCCTTCGTCCCGCACCTCGACTCGCCAATACACTTACATGTGTATCGTCTTATAGATTTGAACGCACCAGTTTACCTGTACGACAGCTGGCAGTACCATGTAGATTCTTCACAGGTGTATATCCAGACACACATTTGCAATGTTGTCCGCCTGTCTTGACGTCTAAGTTACACGAGCTGTGCGGATTTACACACTGCTTGTTATCGAGGCACACGCCGCCCAATGTCATGGCTGCGAACAAACACCAAACGTTAACACCGCTGATTAAATTCACCAGCGGACACCGTTTATTATTTCTGAAAAGAATTTCTCATACAAGTAATTTTTTGTATTGAAATACATATTAACCAAAGATACCCACCCAGAGGCCAAGGAATTATATGGAGTGAGAGAAATCTATCTTTGTGAGTTATATTAGCCATTAAATGAGGACGACTTTGCGACAATGCTCACATAAGCTCACTATCAGACTCGGGCTGATGGGATCGAAGGCTTTTGAAGGAGAATAACTCTAGATGAAGCCATCCGTGGCAACTAGCTGGCGACTGATGCTCCCTAAGGATAATTGATGTTAGTATTAGTATGTTGGTGTAACCGTATGAAGTGATCGTAAACCGTGGACGGGGAACCGCGAATCCTTGATTAAGGTCGAGGGGTAATAAGCCATTATACCTATTATACCTATCTAGCACATTTAGCGTGTTAGCTAGTGGCATATCAGAATACAGGCCAGATTAAAAGTCAAACGCAGATGCAAGATATTGTTCAAGGCTTACTACAAGTCCGACATTTCCTCTCTGTCTATAACATATTTCTCAAGAACAAGACGTTTTCATATGATCACAATCTTACCTGGAAGTTTATTTCTTGAGTAAAGAAACTCATTGCATGACCTTGCTCCTACCAGGTCGTTTGCGCTCCTATAATAAATTTTGATGTGGTTTAATATTCTATTATGTGATTTAATCAGTATTCAACTTAGCCAAAGTATTCAGTATTTCGCCAAGCAACGAATGAGGGAGCTGGCTATGCAGAGACGGATCGTAT